CAGGCTGAGTAACGGTTGCTATGGCAGGGACTGAGTGACTGACAGAGCCGATTTATTTCAGTGTACAACCGTGTAGGAGAGGCACGGGCGAAGGGAAAACACACAGAAATGTGACACATAAAACATCTCCAAACTAATTCAAGGCAAGCATTGGAAACAAGAATGCCTGCTCTTCAAGTCAGGCGAGGAAGTGGAAGGAGGGTTCAACCTGAGGGCAATGCCATCAATGTGCGAGGTTTTCCTCTTTCGCACAATACTGAGGTTTGGTTAATTTGATTATTTCAGAATAATTCTGCAATAGTGTGTGTCTACATTTTAAATTAAAAAAATTAACAGAAGTGAAAGAAAGCAAGGAATATGGGTGGTCAAATCATTTAAAACTATGACATCAACAGTCTTCCCCTTGATTTAGTATGCTGCAAGATAACATTTCAACATTTTTCTTTATTTTACTGGACGTTTTATTTTTCTAAGAAAATGAATTGGGGCTGTTGGCAATATTCATCAAAATACGTAGAAACACTAATGAGTGTCATTTATATTACCTCATTTCTTTGGGGGGAAATACTGAAAAAAAAAAAAAAAAAAAAAAAAAACATATTTTCAATTATACAGTTATTTACTGGAATGCCCCCAAAGGCAAATGAACCTGAGAACAGGTTTGGAAAATAGAAAAAAAAAAACAAAGAACAAAAAAAGAAAACACACACACACAGGCAAAGGAAAATACATTTTCTGTAGGTTGTCTGAGTTTCCAATAATAGCAAATCCATTTCCAAAAAAAAAAAAAAAAAAAAAAAAAAGAAAGGTCTAAATGGCACCAAAAACGTAATCAAAAAATGTAGAGATAACTCTGCAGGTGTTGGCATCAAGGTCCAGAGAGAGCTGCCTCTCATGATAAATTTCAAACCAAATGCGACCAGTGGAAAAGTGCAGAGAGCAGCGGATGGAGAGCAGGAAAGAGGGGAGAAGAGGTGGACTGAAAAGAGGTGATGGAAGCAGCTGGAAATGTGCAGATGATTGGATGGATGGAGTGGTGTTTGAGTATGCGTTTGTGTGTGTGTGTTTGGTGAAGGTGGGGGGGAGGCTGTCTCAGAGTCCACCTGTTTGCAGAGATAAACACAAGGAGAACCCATAAGCACAGAGTGTGGCTTTTGGGAGGGTTTGACTGACGGGGCTGACATTTAGAAAGAGCACAATAAACAAGGTCTCACAAATAGCACGGGGAACGGTGTGGCTAATACACACTTAGCGAGAAACTGTACACATCAGTGCAATACATCAATGGGTAAACAAAGGGGTCTTTGCATTTAGATGCATGCACGCTTACGTGCTGAGCTGTGTGTACAGCTTGATGCCAAGGCAGCTTAAATTGATGAAAGCAGTTGGGACTCGGAAGCAGACAAAGAAAATGGAAAAAAAGAGGCTTTTTTAAATAGATTCTGAGTACGGACATAAACACAGGCAGGCAGACAGAGTGAGTAAACATATCTGCTCACAATCCAAAAAAGAAGAAATGTTTAGTGCTTTTCTGTGGCCTTTTGTCTCTTGTGTAATGGCGGTGAACGAGGGGTGAAGCTGCCTACCTCTCGTCTAAATGCATCTCTAGAACATCCTGTTCGCAGACGATGCTTAGAAATCAACAGTGAAATGGTTTGTCAGTGTCTTTATGGAAATATGAAGGTAAACATAGTCAGGCGGATAACTATGGGTGGAATGTAATTGGATGCTCAGCACAAAAGACAAAAACAAATAAATCTGTGCATCAGAATGAATCTAATCAGGTATGGATGTTATTATTAGTAATAAGAAATGTGATTTATTTTTGATATTTAATAGTGTAATCAGTAGTTATAATGGCTATTTTTTTATAATAATAATAATAATAACAATAATAATGATACCCTGTCAGAATCTCAACTAGATTAGGTTTGTCTAGTTCTCTTTATTAATGTGAAATCTGAGTTTAGGTACAAAGATTGGGAACAACACGAATACCGTGGATTAAGTGGATTGCAAATCACCAAAATGAGATGACAGGCTAAGCACTTAAATAATATTCACAGATAAAAATATTGCTAAAAGCAAAGCTTTGCAATTATACTATAGAGCCGTCAGCCGTGGCTACTGACATGCTGTTATAATGAGTCTGTATTCAGTCTGAAGCCTGATGTCCTGGAGCTTTGGAGGGAGGTTTTGGATTTCAATCTGGCCTTTTCAGGTAATGAAAGATTTAGGTCTCAGTGGGTGTTCTGTTTGTTATTGTGCCCTGTCTTGAAGAAGAAAGTATTTTCGCTCAGTATTTAGTTTGCAGACTTGTACACTTTGAGTCACTTTGGCACATTGTGATCATACAAGTAATGATCACTTGTGTCAATTCCAATGATCAGTAAGTGATCGTTTGAATTTATTCGAAGTAAATCCAAGATATCAGGATGAACTTAGAAATTGCCTAGTGACAATTTTACTCATATTTCATCCTCATCCTTTTTTTTTTTTAATCAATGAGCTCACAGATCATGGTAGCAGCAGACTTTAGTGTGAAATTGAAGAAACAATGTTGTGGACCATTAGGACATTTTTGCAGTTTTTTTTTTAACATTTTGTGGAAAAGTTCAGCAACGTTTTCACTCTGTCTCTCTCACAAAAAAAAAGGATGCTTGGTTATATTTTTGGTCAGTAAAAGCACAATGAAGGCATGGAAACTAAATGAGAGCCAGTCTATACACATTTACTATTAAGATAAGCTAAACTGATTGACAAGAGCAGAGGAAGCTACGAAAAGATGCCTGAAGCAGCCTGGCACTTTCCTTTTTGTGCCGTGACTTAGACGTTACAAAGAATACAAAACAAATAACATTTCAAAGGTGTATGTCACATTGCAACTTTTAATGTGTCATACAAAGATATAAGGGATGGCATTGCATGTCCTTTGAAAATGTGCAGGGAGTCGCATAGGACTTTTAAAAGTGTGCTCGATATGCACGTCCCTATGTGTCTGCAAGCAACTAGGTCACCCACATTTTCAAGGGGAGGATGTTTTCTTCAGGCTGGCATTCGGCAGGGTGAAACATTCACTGTGCTTTTGAAGACACCTTGCACAGATTAGCACAGGCAAATGGCTAACTAAAGTGTTGAGGTATCGTTTGTCATAAAAATCCCAAATATCTCCAAAACAAGACAAGCTCCATAAAGGAGACGCACATCCAAGGACATCGAGCGCCTTCTTCTTGACATGTAATTTTTCTCCTCTTGCTTCTCGGTGGAAACAAAATATTTGACCACTTTTGTCAAAAATGACAAAATTAATGTTTATGAATGTCAAAAGTGCACAACTGATCATCTTGTCCAGACAATAAAAATGTCTTGCAGCATCTTTTATTCCCTGGCATGAAGCAAAACAAATGCAAAAAAAAAATAAATAAATAAATGCATGAACACAGTTTCCTCACACACACACACACCTACATGCACACGCACACACACTGTACACAGAAAAACAGGCTTCTGTTTTCTCAAAGAAGCTACAGGGAGCAGACTATTTGAGGAAACACTGTGACATTCTCTTGCTCCGTATGGCACACACAAAAATCAATAGTTTGAGCAGATGCATTTCACGCCTACAGGAGAACATCTGGACCTTAGGCTTTAACCTGGTGGAGCACAGCAGAATCCGCAGGCAGGATCACTATATATATATATATATATATATATATATATATATATATATATATATATATATATAAACTTATGCTTTCATTTATAATTGTAACCCTTTAAACAGAGGAGTGTAAGTCCTCACACTCCTAAAGCTGAGTGCTTAATGGCCGCAGCTCTGTATTTCTTGTAGACATAAAACTAGCCATTCTGTATTCCCTAACCAAAACATAGTGACTTTCATAAAATATTACAGTTCTTTAGTTATTTTGCAGAACCAAATCTGTAAACAGCACAAGAACTCAAACAATGAATGAACAACTGCAAAAGAACGAAGATATGGCCGTCAATCTAAACTGACAAAGAGGTCAAAGTGAGCATTAATCAGAAGCAGTCTATGGTTACTTTAGAGGAGCTGGAGAGGTGAGCAGCTCAGGTAGAACAACATAGGGCATGCAGCAAACATGTGAAAGATGGTAATCTGGTCAGATAAGACTAAAATGAAATGTTTTGGCCTGAATTAACAAAAATAATATTGCCTGAATAATATTGAACACGCCGTATCCTTATATTTTCTTAAATAACTTTCTCGTCTTTTTAGAATTTTATTTAGTGTAAATGTTTTGTATGAGGAGCCATCACACTATATAAAATACATCAAGGTTTACGTTTGCAAAATGACAAAACGTGAAAAAGGAGTATGAAACATTTTTCAAGGTACTGTATTAGAGATTGCATATCCATAACGCAACACCAAACTGCACATAATGTATATGTATTTTCAAGAGATAAGTTAAGCCCATGGACTAACGTGTCTCTGAGGGTTCAGACTGATCTCACAGGGATAACACTGACATTTATCTCCTCATCTCCTCCTTCTAATCCCTCTGGAAAGCTCTAAAAGTCGACCTCAGTGTCGCTAATTTCAGACACTTAATGAGATTTTTAATTGATGACCTTTTGAGAACAATTTCATACCACAGCTCATGAGAGCACAATGATGAAAGCCAGCGCATTTAACACCAACCTAACGCCAGGATACTTTAGAGTATTCTAATTTATAATTTTCTTGTTTGTCATAAAAAAAGGTGACTATTTGAGATATGCGCTGACATTTTTTTTTTTCATGTATCAGGGTTTGTTTTGTTTCTATTCTACTAGAATAATCCAAAGGCAGGAAAGTGAAAAGTAGCACCACCAAAGAAAGCAGCGCCTTCATGGAAAACAGGGCCAATGCAAACATCCAACTGAGGCGTGGCGCTGCGTTTCACATTGCGTCAATCATCAAAAATCTAAGACTGTGTGATGAGCTGATGTAAAATCTTTGCCTGGACTTCTCTTACCGTGGTGAGATATCGCAACCCTGCTGCATGAAGGCGCCGAGCGAAAACCAAAGAGAATTGAAGATGCCAAACTCATTGGTCTGTTCTGGACTCTGCTGGTTGGCATTCTGCTGAATTGGCGTCTGGCTCGGCTGCACGCCGTTGGAGGCCGCCGCTTGCGTGGGAGTCTGAGGCTCGGCTCCCTCCTCGTAGTCTTCGGCGTGCCACTCGTAAGGGCTGAATCGACTGACGAGGAAGAGGACGACGCTGACGCCGATGTAGGCGAACACGATGCACATCCAAATCTCGTAAGCCAGAGGGTCCAGGAAGGAAAACACACCAGGCTTGGACTTTGTGGGTTTCTTGATCATGATAGAAATACCCAGAGACATGAAGGGCTTGGAGAAGTCTATCACCTCTTCACGGACAAGAGTGATAGTAAGTGGAGCGACAGCCAGATCTGCTTTCTGAGGGAAGAGCACAAACGTAGAATATCTTTAACAAAACAGCCATTTTTTTCTATGCATGTTTAAACGTACTAGTGAAACTGAAATGCAAAAAAAAAAAAACATAAGGGAAGTAGCTGCAAAGTTACACACAGCTATAAATGTGTTGCACCAGATTGCTTACTTGTTTAAATTCTTTGTATTATAATTATCAATAGAATAATACCTCCAGTATAAAAACTTTCTACTTCATCTCTCGTTTGTGACCACTCTACTCTCCATGACAGCTGGTACCACACACAAAGTTCTCATGAACACCGGGTGGTCTGCACCATTTCTGCACACGTTATCAATCGGGTGTGCAATCTTTGCGGACGACGTGCAACACGCTGACTAACTGAGCGTACTTTTGCTTCTTTAGCACTCATTACGTGGAATCTTTATTCATCAGTGTAAAAAATGTAAATAGGTAAAACATTTTAAAGCTGCTGGACCTCCTGCCACACTACTACAAACCTGACATATAAAGTATCCAAGATGCATCAAGTTTCAGAGTACGCATGAAGCCAGGAGAAATACATTTTTTTAATGAATCTGGATGCAGCCAGGTTTTCTGAACTCATTTGTTCAGAAGTGGGGAATCTAGATTCCACGCACACCTTGCCAAGGTATAAGCTGTCCACTACAGCAAATTAAATTTGTTTTCCGGGGCTCTGCCATAAAGTACAAAATAAATAATGCCCTATATAATCCATGGAAGCGGCTCACAGTGTGCGCAGCTCATGTTTCAAGGCCCTCGACAGTCATGGGCTTGTTTCCTCAGAGATAAGTTTAATGACCTGCTGTTCTGCAGTAGGTTGTCACAGTATGTCAGTGTGTCTCTAGCCTACTGTACTCTAACGATGTTCACCCAATCTTTTTGACAAACAGAAAACTGCAAAAGATACCTACAACTTTTACTACGGCTGAAGATATTTCGGTAACATGACTTTAAACAGAAAACTGTCAAGAGGTAAAACCTTTATTTACTCACATCATAGACCAGTTCTCCAACCATGCCATTCCACTTCTGGGTTTCAGGATCTTTGGCTCCGTATTTGCCATCGGAAACAATCTTAAGCTTGTATTGGTAGCCCACGTGCTTTGCTATCTCTGCAGCCAACTCTACAATGTAGCCTTCGTACTTATCATTTCCCACGAGCAGTTCGTGGTTATTCTTTAGCATCACATAGGGAGACTCCTGTTGGATGAAAAAAAGCATTTTCATCAACATTGTATTGGATAAAAATTCCTTGTTTCTTGTTGGATTAATCAAGACCTAGATGTATGGTTCATAAAATAAATGAAATAAGTTCAGTGCTGCAAGTTGAAAAATCTGAAACATATGTCGTAAATGCATCCCAAGTTACCGTGCCGTTTACTTGTATCGTGTTCATAGTTCGCAGTTAAGTCTTTTGGAAAAAATGGATTCAAGGACTTTGAAAGATTGAGACATCATATCAAAATACAAGGTATAATTTATTTTTTTACCTTTGATCCTTAAATGCTGGTTTCATTCTAATCCAAGAGCTGTGATCATTGTGATTGCACTGCAACAATGACGGTGCTGATGATGTGCAAGCAAGCAAAAAAAAAAAAAAAAAAAACAGCTGAATGCTGTTTGCATAAGTATCTCTGCGAGAGTTCAGGCTTGGCTGTGTAAGTCTGAAGCATGTAATGACTCCACCTTCAAGCCCTCTGTTCTGGGCAGCATGTTTCCTGTTATACCTGCGTTTATACATCTCACACCGATTGACTTACACCTGGGGCCACACTTCACTTTCAGAAAAATCGTATTTCATACAGAATGCTGGTCACCTCTGTCTTAACGCTCCACCAACAATCAGTAGGTAGCAATTCCCACAAGACGGTGTTTGAGTCCGTTTTAAGCCAAGCTTTGCTGAGCATAGCAAATCCTGCCAATGTGGTTCATATGGCTGTAGAGATGTTTAGGGGATTCTTCATCACGTTGCAGCTACGCCTGCTCTGTTCCTCCTATGGTTAGGATCAAGGAAATCATTGCTTCACAACCCCGGTATCCCACTGGCAGACAAATGGCACACCAGGGAAATGCTGGAGAGAAAGCTCTGTTTTGCTTTGCTGTCATGGGGTATGCATTCACAGTTACAGGAAAAGAAAGACACACACTCACTAGAAACAGGCCGGGGCATACAGACAGTCCCTTGATGAGAAATTGACAAAACACTTCAAGGGCTATCCACTGCCCTCAGTCTTGTGAAATACAACATATCTTTTCACAAATGTAAACACAGTGTCAATGTATGCAGAATTTACAAAAAAACCAGAACAACAACAACAAATGCCCAAACAATTGATGCGATCGGATTGAAGCAGACGATGTTAGAAATTGAAGCTCGTAAACGCGTACCCGTGTCCATGCCATGCCTTTTCTTACAAAACAAGGCAGGGGCGACACATTTCTATTGCACAAACCCTTCCAGAAGTCAATTCCAGTTTATACACATGCTATGACAGGAGATTTTTAACAATGTAGAAACTGTAGACTGTGAGAACACCCTCTACCCGTGGTGGCGTGCATATTATCATAGCTTAACATATTTCCACCAGCTGTCGTCAGCTATGCTGATGTCCCTGTGGAGAAAATTGTCCTAAAAGTCTAACTGACATGACAAGTCACTTACAGACAAGTCTTGGTTACAATACATGTAGAATACGCTTTCCTCAAATCTAACCCACAGCCCTTATCACCCAATTCTCTGATATATAGGACAGCAGACCTAATAGAATCCTGCCAAAGCATGTTATATAGGCAACCAGTGACAGCTGAGCCAAAAAGAGGCGAGAGAAAGAAAAGATACACTGACATAGTAAAGCGTTATAAGTGGTTTGGCCTTATAATGTCTTTAATCAAATGCAGTGCTCTACTTCTCGAGAGCTACACCCGTCATCCTAAAAGCAGGTGCCTCCTAGTCTTCCCTGATTTATGCCTTGTAAGATGGCAGACATAATTAAAAGCTTAGGGAATAAATGAGATGCAACTCTGCAAGTCCTCAACTCTGCATGTCATGACACCAGAACTCTGCACTGCTGCTTAGTTTGGTCAATAAAGCCATCACTATTCTGAGCAGGCGTCTGTCAGACAGTGGGAGAACACGATATAGCTGGACAAGGGAAGAAACGGAGGGAGAAACAATCACAGGTCTGCCAAATTCATTGTGTGTAGTGAACTTTCAGGGAACTCCATCATAAAAAGAAAATGAAAAATGTTGCTGCGACTGTCCCCGTGTCAATCTTTCCTCCCTGCTACTCCTTCAAAATCCCTTGAACTTCATATTTCGAGACTTACCAAAATAGTGGTGACTATATATGTCCTGTTCAACAGTCCGTGTGTGTCGTTGTTGACCCTGGAGAGGCTCGCTGTGCTCACATACTTCTCATCTTCATTCCAGTAGCCAACCTAGAAAAAGGACAATGAATCAGATGGGGACCTTCAGCTCCTCTGCTTACCTCTGTAGATTTAAAGAGGAAATTAAATGATTTATGAAATCACTGGCAAGAATTTCATGAGCAGCATTCGCTATATACTTATATAAAAAAAATAATCGCATTCATACAGTTGTTAAAAAATCACAAGAGGTGCCATTTTTCTTTTTTTTTATACAAAAACTAAATGAAGAAAATGTCTGGATTCCTATGAAGTTCTGCACATGTTGATACGAGTTTCCCACAGAAAGTGGATCATGATAGATTTGTAAAATGCCATCGAAACATTTATGCAACACTAACAGTAATCAACTAAATATTATCATTTAGCATTTCAGGTTTTTTTTTTTAAACTGCCAAAACTATTACAACAGTGGTAATTGAGAGAAGAGAGGGAGCCAAATAAATATTTATCTCAATGTCACAACTTTCGCTTTAAATCATTCTGCAATAACTTCTTCTTAGAAATAGGAGATCAAGTCTGAACAGCAGTGAACAACAAATGATCTTTTCTTTAAACTTAGTTATTTCACAAGGAAATGAATTATTATCAGGCCATTGTGCTCGTTGTTCCAACGAAAAGGTTAATATTTTACATTTTTATTTTATCCCAGTTGGATTATGGAAATGTGCTCTTTGGGTTTTATTTATTGATGTATGCTTTTGGTTTTTCTTCTTATCAAATTCATCATTACTAGAAGTCAACCATGCATTTACTTTATTTACCCCATTAATCCTGTTAGGGTCATGGAAAACCAATATAGCAAAACACTTATTAGCATTTAAAATGAGCCTGGAAGCAAAACAGTTCTTTATGTTAGTTCGACTCTACAAACATTGATGAAAGCCCAGATTTTATGTAGCTAGTCATTTCGAGTAAATAACTAAATGCATAAACAAATGCAAAAAATAAATAAAACATGAGTTTTTCACCATCTCCCTCAGTCATTATTTTACCCATCTGCTTCTGTAAGGCTCTGTTTTAAAGAATGCCAGCCAAATTTACAAGAGAACTGGCACTGGTATTTATATATAAGCTTAGGTTTTGAAAAAAGAAAATGGTTTGACATTGTTAACATGTTTCATCAAACCATATCTACAGTCGTAATGAGATGCTCTGGAAAGTACCAGAGTGACAGGAGTCTGGCAGAAACATTTGTTGTCTATGTGAGACCTTTTTCATGTTTATGTTTTCACGATGTAAAGCACTTTGAACCGCCGTGTTGCTGAAATGTACTATGCAAGTAAACTTGATTGATTGATTCTAATAAGTAAAAACATGGACAGATATGGCATGGAAAACTCTTCAAGATAACATGGTTCTCAGTATCTGAGATGATAAATAACCAAATTCATCTATGCCTGATCAGGAGCCAACTGTGTGCTGGTCTAACTAATTAAAGAGTTATTGTCAGCTTGTTATACCTGTGCAACCTTAAAAATAAAAGGCGGAAAGTGATGGAATTCATTGCAATAGACGAATAAAAGCCACTCGTTTAAATGTTATCCTTGTGTATGGTATAAAATGTCTTCTTAAAACTGGTTGAATATATATTACAACAAGACATTCACAAAAATGCATAATAAAACCGAGTGTGAATGAATCAGAGATTTTGAATAGCATGAATGTGTAATTTAAAATTGTGAGGCTCAGAACTGCTATTTCCTTTACTGCTATTTAAGTTGTGGTTTTCTATTATCAGGGTGCAAGAACGTCAAGTAAACCTTTGACATGCATTATTCATGTAGTCTCTTTTCATGCTAAATCTCTGTCACTGTTGTTGAAAGCCAGTTTTATCTGCATGCTTATCAATTACCAATTTTCTCAGTTCATTCAAACCTAACAAATATTTCAGATCAACTTCAATTTAAAGAAACAATTTCAACTGCTTCTTCTACTAACATTAAAGTTATTGAAAAAACTGTGTGTAAACAATTAAATAGTTTCCTCATGATGACCAACTGCTTTGACACTTTCCAGTCTGGTTTTTGTGCTCACCACAGCACGGAGACTGCCCTCGTAAAAGTACTCAATGATATCCATATAAATACGGACTGTGGGAGAACCACAGTGCTGGTTCTGTTGGACCTCAGTGCAGCTTTTGACACTGTCGACCATGACATATTACTGAATCGACTTGAAAGTTGGGTTGGACTCTCTGGTTCGGTGCTCGACTGGTTTGAATCCTACATAAAGAACAGGGATTTCTTTGTTTCAATTGGAAACTTCTCATCAAAGAGGTCAAAGGTCACATGTGGGGTACCCCAAGGTTCAATCCTAGGACCCCTCTTATTTAACATTTATATTCTCCCACTAGCTCAGGTCATAACAGGAAATAATATTAGCTACCACAACTATGCGGATGACACACAGCTCTACATTACGATGTCACCAGGTGACTCTGAACCCATCCAATCACTGAATAAATGTTTAGAGCAGATAAATGTGTGGATGTGCCAAAACTTTCTCCAACTGAACAAAAATAAAACTGAAGTCATTATTTTTGGACCTAAAGAGGAACGATCTAGAGTCAATGCACAGCTTCAGTTATTACAACTAAAAACTAGCGATCAGGCCCGAAACCTGGGAGTAGTGATGGACTCGGACTTGAACCTCCAGAGCCACATAAAGACAGTAACAAAATCGGCCTTCTATCACCTGAAGAACATCTCCAGGATTAGAGGACTAATGTCTCAGCCAGATCTAGAGAAACTCATTCATGCGTTTGTCTTTAGTCGCATTGATTATTGCAACAGCATCTTCACAGGCCTGTCCAACAAATCAATCAAACAGCTGCAACTGATCCAGAATGCTGCTGCTCGCGTTCTCACTAGAACCAGGAAAATAGAGCACATAACACCAGTTTTAAAGTCCCTCCACTGGCTCCCTGTAGCTCAAAGAATAGATTTTAAAATACTGTTGTTAGTTTACAAATCACTGAATGGTTTAGCACCACAATATATTAAAGATCTGCTGTTGTTGTATCAACCTTCCAGACCTCTCAGGTCTTCTGGTTCTGGTCTGCTCTGCATCCCCAGAACCAGAACCAAAAGAGGAGAAGCAGCTTTCAGCATCTATGGACCAAAAATTTGGAACAAACTTCCAGAAAACTGTAAAACAGCGGAAACCCTGACTTCCTTCAAATCTCAAGTAAAAACGCACCTGTTTAGAGTTGCATTTAAAATGTAATATGTATGGATTTGATTTTGTGGATATGTATGTAATTTTTTATTATTATTTTTTTTTCCTGTTGTGTTCAACGGGGCCCGGCGAATACCCGTGGTTAAACGGACGGCGGAGTCCGGCGGTAACAGGCGCTTAAATTCTGTGTCAAAGAGAAGGGGGAAGAAAGGGAAAGAAGAGGGGAAAAAAAAAAAAACAAAACCTTGGTATTTTATTCTATGTTGCATGCCTTTGTGTTTTGTGTTTATGATGTAAAGCACTTTGAAATGCCTTGTAGCTGAAATGTGCTATACAAATAAAATTTGATTGATTGATTGATTAACCAATACACACATTTCCTTTCACCTTGAATGGAGTAAACTTAAAGCAGTAGGATATGCTGCATTTTCATATTTCAAGTTCATAAACTTCATAGCAGCAGTAAAGGTGTGTGTTGTAATTATTGCAGAAGATTTATTTTCAGATGAGTCTTACTCCACTGATAAGGGTCTGTTTGTTGCCCGATTGACTCAGAGAAACTATAACTGTAATTTGTACATGACAAATATGACCAGAGGTCTTTCTTGAACTCAGTATGCAGGAGAAAATGAGTCATATTATTGAGATATTACCATTGCAAGCGCAACTTTTCAGCTCCTCGGGCACAAATGAATGTCTGACACTGGATGCGTCTGGCTTACCTTCTTGGGTCCAGATGGGGCCAGTTCCATGACACTGACAGTATAGTTGGTTCTGCGACCCTTCTCGTTGAACTGTATGTGACCAGTCAACCCGTCAATTTGAACCTGTAAAGATGTCACACGTACACAGACGCTCATGCTGAGGCTGAAACACCCCTGGCAGGCGGGCGCATGCAGTCAACTTCATGATGAATCAACCAGAAAACATTAGTAATGTGTTTTAAAAACAGTTTGCAACGTGTTTCTGTAGTACACATTAATGGAAGTCTGCGCCGGTCATGTCCCCGAAGAGGTGAATGACAGACGGTGTGCATGTATGCATACAGTGCAGTGTGTTTGTCTTGGCTTGGTGATGGAGTTAATTGAGCGAACACGGCTTCGAGCTCCAGTCTGTCCGCAGGCAGATGGCAAGATTGACTCGGCACAGCCTCTGCAGACAGAGCCTTGGGCTGGACGCATGCGCACATACCTCGTTTTTTTAATGCCGATGTGGGGATACTCCATCTTTTTTTCTCTGTCTGTATATTTTCCATTGTTGTAGAGACAGTGTAGTGAATAGAACAGTAATTCTCTTGGCTTCTCAGTGTACGTTCCAAGGTGCTGTGAGATCAAGACGCCTCGCAGCCAGGCCACCATTACCGTTCCCGTGGCCAAATATTAGATTTCTAAACTCAATTGTTGATGTCATATCCCATGATGATCACAGCTGAGTAATATTGCCCAGAGGTTTTGTTTACTAGCCGTGATGTCACATTTGATATTGGGGATTTCTCCTATGACTTAATGTGAACTTTACGCGACAGAATGAGACCTAATTTGTTCAGCCAGCCCCGGTTCATGAGCTGTTAGCCAAAGTGCCAGTCAAGGATTTCTTCACGTCTATGCAGAGTTGGGGTATTCATGCCTCTGTGTGTGTGTGTGTGTGTCCCTGTTTGTTTTGTGCATGTGTGGAGTGTTGTGTCTCTGTGCATGAGTGCAGACCTGCTGCAAGGCTCTCTGGATGTCTATGCCCTGTCCCCAAGGGGCTGGCGGGTTGGCGAGACACTCTCCAGCATTGCCACGGCGAGAGATATCTATCCTCTGTCTCCTCAGATACTGGAAGGCTGTGGACATGACTTTCACCCCGTCATATGTCAGCGCGCCCATGTACTGCAAATGAATAATCCAAACAGACGCAAGGTTTACGAAACTGTACGAAGAGCCAAGAGGGCAATTGAGAAGTGAACTATACCTCAATATAAAATCTGTGTATTCCTCGCATGGTAAAATCTCACCCTCTTACTTTGTTATACTCAAAACATCACCAAAGACGGCTCCGTGTTTGATCTTCAATTGAAAATCTTTGCAGGTGGAAGCTATTTTAACTTGGCTGAACATCAATCACTAGCTGAATCTCAAACTTGAACCAGCAAATTTAGAGAAAATCTAAACAAAGAAAAATGCAGATTCAAAGCCTTTTGTAACCTTTTCATGGTGCTCACAGTTAAATGTGTGAGGAGCAGTGAAAAATGCCCTAGCAATGCATTAGAAATTATAAGTGGCTGAATTTTAACCTGATGAACTGGTGAGCACTGACAGAAATTTCAGAAGTTAATGTTTTATTTCTCATCAACAAGCAAACTATGCGAGCTAGAACTGGATGGCTGTAGGCCAGGGGTGTCAAACTCCAGTCCTCAAGAGTCGGTGTCCTGCAACTTTTAGACGGGCCTCTGCTGCACCACACCTGAATAGAATAATTAGATCATTAACAAGGCTCTGGAGAACTTATCTACACAAGGAGGAGGTAAGTAAGCCATTTTATTCCACTGTGGCACATCTAAAAACTGCAGGACAGCGGCCCTTGAGGACTGGAGTTTGACACCTCTGCTGTAGGCTTTCTACAGATAACAGGAAGGCTAACAAAGAGTAGCTCTGTTATACCCCTGTGTGCTTTCAATGTTAAAACTGAATCCAAAATGTTAAGTGTTGTTCTCATATATAATATTAAAGTTCTTCAATGGAAATCATAAGAGTATAACTTTTTTTTTTTTTTTTACAATCAAAACAGTATAACACTGTTCAAAAATTGGTGAATCTTTTGACAATACCTTCTGCTGTAATCTTACATGGTAACAAAATCATGCACTTTGTACAATACAGTACAAAAGTGTAAATTAAAAAAAAAAAGTGTGTGTTACTTTGAGTCCAGTTTTGGGCATTTTGGAGTCTTTGTTGTCAAACTCCATCCACTGCTGGACGATGCGGCTCACGCTCGGCTCGGAGTTGTTAACCAGCTGAAAGCCAGTGATGTTGGCACCGCCTTTCCTCAGGTCTGTCAGGTCAATGTCTAGGAAACCCTGTGACCGACAGCAACACAGGCTTAGAAGTGAAAAGACATTACTGAAGTAGCTCCCAAGACAGGACATATAGGGCACTCAATGGAGGGGTGAAACATGGAACAAGGAGTGACTTGCAGCTGGCAACACTAAGAGATCATAAGATGATGCTATTTATATCATTTACATGGGATTAGATAATGGCAAGTGCTGCACTGTTAAATCTTTTTATGCATTTTGCTTTCGTAAACATCTGCATTCAAGCGGTTTTGATGTAACTTTAGATTGTTTCTCCAACATTAGCACAGCTGCTTCAAACTGGCAAGTTTGAACTTGTATGTGCAGCACATACAGGAGCATGACTGACAGCAATCCGGTGCTTCTGGTTGATTGTTTCTGACCGGGAGTGGTGCAATGTTGCAGATGGCAATAGGACCACAGGAAGGGCAGAGGAGCTTGACTATTTTATTTTTTTCACAAAGTATGCGCCTCATATTCGAGACACATATTCTCTAATATAAATAGTAGAATAGTATAGTGTGTATGTGTCAATATTTTGTGTCAGAGTTTGTCATACTGAACACACTCCACTGGCTCTTTTTTAAAGGACAAAAGAAATAGACACAGAGAATAAGAAACCTCATTTCAAGCAGCTCTAGTCCAGAGGTAATCTGTGACGGGCTAAATCCTCATAGGTTGCAGTTAAAAATGAAAGGATCAAAATCTTACAGGATGCAGGGTGAAATAAAGCTCACGCTTCATGCAACCCAGAACAGAAAAGAAAGAGATTAGCAAGAAATGTATCTCCTACTCATGTTTTTCTTTCCCCTGACTGGTATGTAGGTGTTTTTTATTTTTATTTTATTTATTTTTTTTTACAGGAGAGACAGAATAGAGGAGCTGGAGCTTCAGTCTCTCAGCAGGTGGCCTGTCAATGCGGAGAGAGGAAGAGGCAGGCGAATGGGAACGGATGGGAGATTCTCTATGGTTTTTAAAAGTGGAGTTTTACCAGATGAATAGAAAAACAAAAAAGGTTCTTCCTTGCATTGTCACTTGATCTTCAGGCATCTGTCTAATGGCACAAAGTGTTAAGTGGTTTCTCCTTCTTCTTCTTTGTTCTGACATAGTTTCATAAAGCTTTGGTTCTCTCCTTGCTACACATTTGTCTCAAAATATTTCTGTTTTACATCGTCTGGTCTTTAATATTCCTACAGTGATTAAAACAACTTGCTGTTCAATAGAATAAAGTAACTCGAAATAGCTTCACGGTTTAATCGCAGTACATTTGTTCAACTCAGTTTAGCAAAAAAAAAAAAAAGAAAAAAAAAAAGAAATATCCTCACTGGATTTAATTTGGATGAAAGTGAAGCAACTTTTTAGTTGCTTTGTCATAATTATGATGGAACGAAAAAATGTATTTCCTTCATTCACTGGTAAATAAGCTGGACTTACATCCATACTTACCCATTGTAAAGAAATAAAGGAAGTAAATAAAGAAATATCCAGACATTTTTACAAGAAGGGATAATACAAAGAATCAACAGGATGAATCTGCATGACTTTGTTATCGACAATTTTTTGTATAAAGAATCATTTACCCTCCCAACCCCCGCTGAATTAATGTGCTGAAAATAAATGAAAATCTTTTGGTATTACACAAAGCCATTGCGATACAAGAATCATTTATTTTAAGACTCTTTATACATCTATACCAGGGGTACAGAAAACCTGACAAATCTAAGCTGGTTATTTTCAAAGAGTTAGCATGGGTACAAAGTGGAAACCGCCTCCTGTTGTCGTCGCTTTCTTTGACACTGGTCAGGTGTCTGTGGCTGCATTTCTTGTGCTTTTTCTTCGCTCCATGAATGAATTAATGTCGAGAAGCGAGCTGGAGAGGTTACTATAGAAACTAGCCTTTGCTAATAGTGTGGGCCTGGGGGCGCGCTTCCAACACGTACTGTAACCCCATCTAAGCGACGAAAGATATTCAAACCGTGTCCTACTCGGATACTCTCACAGGCGCAGACATGCGGAGCAGTAAATTAATTAGCAAAATTGAGAAAAGGTGCAAGGACAAAGACAAACTATTTTAATTCTTTAATATCCTCTTCTTTTTTTTTTTTCTTTTAAAAAGGGGCCCATCATTTACGACTGCAGACACTTTGCAAATCAGCCGCTCCTGCCGTCCGAGCCTTATCATTTGAAATTAAATCTGGCAAACTGGCCAGACAAGAGAGATTGAACCAATCTAAAACCCGAGCGGTGAGAAATTGTCAGGGCCAGCGGCTGCATATTAATGTTGTTACAGCTTCTGCTTAAGACTTCACTTTGCGGCATTTGCCGAGTGCCGCACTTGTCTACGTATTATCGGCACAGAGAGAAATGGTAGGAAAACAAAAGAGAGCGCTAATAGATAAAGCTCCCACAGACAGGCTCGCCTGACCCTTTTCTGTCAAATTATGTCTGCACAGTTTTTTTTGTTGTTTTTTTTCCCCCTCAGACTGTCACAGATCACCCTCCTGCGCTTTAGTCTGCACCTGAACTGCTGTCGTTTCCACTGCTTTGACAGAGAAAGAATAGCTAGAATGGAAAATGGAATGAGCAGATGTAAAACCAGACAGTTTCACCCTAATTTATCGGGTGCGTGCAAGTCTATTAAACCGGCGGTAAAGCGCTGAAAGTCAGGAACACAGTTAAAAGCTCAATTTATTGGCAATCCAAATTCAATGAAAGTATGAAGTAGGTGGAAAAGTGTGTGGGATTCTTTTCTGCAATAAAAAAAAAAAAAGCTGTTCTGTTTCTTACCAGGTTGGCGAGGATGTAGTGGAAGCTCTTTGCGTTCTTTCCCTGTTCTACAATCTACAAGACAGAAGGAGGGGGAGAAAGAAAATGAATCTTTTGTCATAAACAGAAACGAGTTTACAAAAATAATACCCATGTTACTATGCCTTTAAAAAAATGGGAAAACTACAATTATTTTATGGTTTTGTATACTACTGAGGTTATAGTTTAAGGAAACACGTACAATATGCTGCTTCCTTTTGTGGCATCATGAGAAAATCAAAAATCTTAGGAAGAGAATCGTGGACCTGCCTGAAGATGTCAAGTGAATAGTTTAAAACAATTACATGCAAGCATAATGCAACGCGAGTTAGAATTACATCATTTTTCTTTTTTTGCTGAGAGCTGCAAATGTTTTAAATTGCATGTAGAAACACTGTTTGCTGTTTTCTTTTGGACTTTCAGTTTTTAGTTCAAGAACATAAGTCATTTACCAAAGAATTCACAAATGGTAGTATTTTTTCTTAATACATTCTGCTGGAATTAGAATCAGTGAGCCGGTGGTTATAAAAAAATAGCTAAATAAATCTGATTTTCACCAAGAAAAGATCAAAGTGTACATTTGTAATATTCTCTTTACTGGGGATCTAAATTAGCTCCTTTCCCCCCTATATTTCTTGAAGCTTTAGCTTCAGTTGTCTTCAATGGGAGAGTGCTTAAGGAGCACTCATGAATACTTAAAATTTGCATTACCTGGCCTTTGCTGACAATGCGTGTGGACAAGCCATAACGAGTTAATTAGCATCCAAAGCACTGGTATGAACTGCATGGTGCTTCAGCTCTCTGTGTGAGTATTAAATAAATCTTGACCCAGCATCAACAGCTAGCAGCAAACTCCTGAGAATAATTCATGAATGAAATGGCCTGATTCCATGCAGCTACACATTAATGGCATTAGCACAAGCGTGCAAATGTCTAAGTGCCAAAATTAAGAGTGGGTTTGTGTGCAAATACCGTCAATGTGTCATATCAGAGAAGAACCAATAGGAAAATACTAATTTGAAGCATGCGAAAGAACAAGCTTTTGACTTTTGTGTGTATGTGTGTGTTGTGCATGTACAATGGTACTGCAGGTCATGACAGAAGGTGGCATTTGTTATTAATGGTGACACCAGCGCGAAGGCCAGCCCTCTGGCCAGGCCTCAAGCAAGGAAAACTTGAGAGTTGGAGGAGAGTCGCAGCCCAGCGCAGACAACAATGCACATGCCATGATACCGCCACAGTGCACTGTCAAATGGAAAGGTTTTGGCATCAGTTTCCTTTTAATATTACATGCAAATGTGAAGGGTCACACAGAGTTCATTTGCAACAAAATAAGTTTTTTTTTTTTTTGACGTCTCCCCATAATAAGATACATGCAAAAAACAATTTTCTATTACAGAAATATTCTTCCAGGTGGTCAAAAGAAAAAATAAATAAATTTAAAAATAAAAATGACATTCTTCCTCTGTATGTTGACCCTCGGGATAGTTTCCATGACATTATCATAACATCTATTGTGTACTGTGTGAAATGAACTCAGGAGTCAGATTAAAGGGCAAAGCAGGGAGAGGCGTCTCCACACGTCCGTGTGTGTGTGTGTGCGTGTGTGTGTGTATATCGCTGCCTTTGTCATTGTCTGAATGCACAGGGACAACAGTGTGGAGGCAGTGAGTGCATGTCAGTGATTGATGGCAGTCGTCTGAATAGGGAACTTCTCCGGTTCAGCTCCTGTAAACTGGTGAAACCTGATGCAATAACCTTAACTTTAGACACTGGCGCATTAATAACAGTTTTGCACAGCAGCCTCCATCGACAGAATGAAACTATGAATGTTTTTATTTTTTTCCTTCTTTTTTGTTACAAACTGAACTAAAAGATGAATAATATCAATGGCAAAAAAAAAAAAAAAATTATTATACCTTGTCGAATAAAGGTCAGTCAGAAAAAGGCAATAATGAACCACTTCAACTTTAAAGGGCTTTTGAAGTAAGGGGTTATTGACTTCCGAGCTATGCAGACAAAATGCAGGTCGGATTGAGAAGAAAGTGGTTTGCCTAATTTGCAGTGTATTATCAATCCTTCATTGGCTGCTTGATTTTTAATCAGAGAATCCAGTGCAGACTGACTGAACGGCAAAGTCAGCCGAAAAGACCACATCTGTTGCACAGCATGTCAACATATGTAACATATGACAAAATGATTCAGTCTCACAGCACAATATGCATAAGGTCTGATCTGGAATAATAAGAATGAAAACAGGTGTTAAAACATAAATAAATACCGAAATAAGTTCTTAATCACTTATTATAAAGAGAAACTATTATTTACAGACTGTCCTTCCATGTTATGGCTGTTCAGGTTACAATCTAAATCAAACCGGAGTTTTTATATAGCAAGAATGATGTTTTATTATGAACATGCAGATGTACACAATATATATCGTCCTAGAAAATGTTAAGTATTAACTTTTCGTGACCATATGATACGCATTTATCATTTTTATGAATGCTTTCTTTTATGGATCCAGATGTGAGGCATTATCCAGGGAGGCTCTTCTGCTTTGTGCAAGCAAAATATTAGCAATCCTTTGGTGAATTAGGGTGAAAGTTTGCAAATCTGCAGGATACTTCATCCTCACCCTGGACAGCAATTTAGGAAAGGAAACTTTTGATGAATGACTTGTCTAATAAAGATATGGCTCATATTAGCGTACAGAGCTTGCAAGGCAAATTATAGTTCAGCACATCAGACATTAAAGTACTGCTCACATAATGAGTTAATAATATCAAATGTAATTCAGCTGTAATCAAATGCTGTACGAACTACATCATTCTGGAGCATTTATCACACTGAACATTTTTGTTACTCTGAGTCACCAGCATGGCTTGAAACATCCAGTTGAAAAACAGCCCCATTATGTAGCCATAAAGCCATAATGAACAACACTGGATTTAAAAAGGAAAGAGATGTTGATATACAGTAGGTTTCTTTATCCAGGTAGAAAGCGCCATGAACTCTGAAAGTAACACATCGGTCGCCTGCTTTTTGTAGCCATTAAAGCCAGGCTCAGCACAAAAACAGATTAATGCTTTTCGATGCTGGCGCATCAAGTGCAAAGGATTGAAAATGCAACAATTTTACACTCAGCGATTGGTCGTCTCACTTGAGAAAGGAAGAACAAAAAATAAAATAAATGGCTCTTCCTTGAGAGGATTTTGAATTTGGTTTTTAAAGGACTAGCCACATAAACTCCAATCATCACCTGGAAAAAGTGTGCACGTTGAAAGGTCCGCCTAGTGAAATTGTTGTTGATAAGCTGCGATTGAACAATCTGTGTTTGGCGGACAGTCGACAGTGATGCCAAGCTCTGTTTTCTTTGAGCGGTCTCGGGGTGAGTGGGTGACGATCCAATCATGGGGAAAAAATGCCAGCTAAAAATGCAATCATGTTGCTTTGAATTGCTCCTACTCTTAATGTTCCAGGAGAAAAAAAAAAAAAAAGGATTCCTGAGCAAAGCAACGCCCAACTCCTACCTCCCATCCACAGCCCTTTCGTGCTCATTTTATAGTGCTTTGCAAAATATCTATAGTGCTTGAGCTTTTGAACATTTTCTTACATTGCAACTTCACTTTCATTTATTGGGATTTTACGTGGTCAATTACAGAAAAGAATAAGAATGCACAGTTTTCCAAATATTTTTAAGCAAAAATAAATCTGATAATGTGTTGCACATTTCTATCTTTTACTCTTAAATCCTTGAATAAATTTTCACCCAGCCCACTGAATTTAGAAGTCCATATTCTAAGTGTGTGTTATTAAATTTCAGTGCGAAAATAGATGTTCTCTGGAGGCTTCAGCGGGTTATTAGAAAGCAGGAGCAAACAAACAGCACCTTGAGAGTAGTTTAACAACGCAACCAGCAGATGTTCACAAAAGAAATCTGGCCTTTATAGTGAAAAAGGAAGACTTTGTGGAAAGCAAGTGATAAGAGTTCCTTCTAGAAGTCAACGAGGGAATACGAGGTCAAGTGGAAGTCACAGCAATTGTGCAAAAGAAGGTGTGTTCTTTGATAAGGCTAAAAGCAAACCTTTGGGTCTGAATCGAGAAAACGAACATTCCACATCGCTCTAAATCCCAGGTCCCAAACTCCAGTACTTGGCAACTACAGCCACGAGACTTTTGAAAGTACCAGATGGCTGAATTAGCGATTCATCATTTCATAAAACAGCACTCAAGGGAACAGCACTCAAACAAAACCACGCCTCCTGTGAAACATGGCAGAGGGGCAGATAATGAGCTGACCACAAGGCAATGCAACACGAAACCCAGTGAGATGACTGTAAAAAAAACTTGAGATTGGGCTCAAAAGTCGAAACATACAGGACACCTTACAGTTTTACAGTTTAGATCAGATACATTAAAGTATTAAAATGGCCCAGTCAAACTAGAGACCTAAATCCAATTAAGAAATTGTGGAAACATTTGAAAGCTAATTTTCACAGATTCTCTGATCTCCATGCAATCTTACAGAGCTTGGAAAATATAACATAACATTTGACGTACTTTCAGACACGTCATGTCTGACATGGCAACAATGGAACTGTCCAAGTTCTGCCCCAAGCTCAATGGAAGATTTACAATGTTAGAAATATAAAGAGACTATCACAGTTTTTAGCAGCACAGATGTTAGAATGATGAAAAAAAAAATGATTGTAAAGGAAAACAGCTGTGGCTCAATGAGAAGTGATAAAGAAAAAAATATATAAATAAATAAATAAAAAATAGATACTTAGCATAAAGTCAGTGTGGATTATAGATTTTACCACATCTCCACCAAAACTGATAACTGATAAACTGAGAGAGAGAAAAAAGAAGAGCTTTAATATCTCTGCTTCCCTCAAAAGGAGAAGCATTTGGCTGTAATTAATTTGCTTGGCTTTGTGAAGCAGCTTTTATCCTGACGTCTGTGCTGCTGCTTTGTCAAGCCTGAACAAGACTGTATTTATTTAAAACAGTCATTTGATTATGCTGCCTTTTTTTTTTTATTTAAATCTATAAAGTACAGCACTTCAAGTTAAAAATCTGCATGCATCGATAGGCTGCTGTTCTAACCCCTGCTCTCTACTGCGTCGGGCCTCAGCTTGACCTCATCTGTGCTGTATTTCCGTGTCATTTCCTGTAATGTGGTGCTTTTAATCTCAGTGTTGCACTTGAGTGTTCTTGACTGTGCGAGGGTTCATTTGGAAAGTCGTTCTAAGATAATTCTATAAAAACGGACGATTTAACAAAAATTCATGATCAGATTATACTTTATTTCATTTAATCTAAAGCATCGTGTTGCAGTGTTTTGTTTTTCTCTAAAGAAACAAGTCCTTTATTTAAAAAGCTGCTCTTTCAGTCACTGATTATTGCTGTTGTTGTATCGCATGTTGTCAGTGTGATTGTGTGTGTTTTACGGGTAACTATGGTTTGTCATTGCGGATTTTCTCGCCAGTCTAATGTACTTTCTTTTACAAAATAAGTGCAGCGATTTTGGAACCAAACCTATTGAACGTCATGTCTAATGTTGAATAATGAGGAAAAATAACAGCAAAATATGTTTCTTTTCTCGTGCTGTTGAAGGTAGGTTTATAGTCTGACGTACTGGGAATTATACAATATTCTACCAATGAAAATGTTAAAATATTACCATACATAATACAAAAGAAGATGCACAACAATCTCAGACTCGATTTGCAAATCTGGTAGCATCATTCTCCAAATGGACTTACATTTAAGAGGTTGCTAAAACCTACATTTTAAGTTTCCATCCGTAAAACCTTTGGAAAACAACATGCCAGTTTTCTAAGTTTCACACACGCTGAATGACGTCACCTCTTTGAGAATGCCAGTGAGTCTCTCGGTCTCACAATCAATGATGATATTCCCCTCCTTCCACTTGTCCAGATCCTTGAACACTTTCAAGAAGGAGTCCCCCGTCATGCTCTCCACGTTGACCGAGGTCACCAGCCAGTTCTTCTCCGCCGCTGTGTCCAGAACCTTCTGCAGCACCGACAGCCCTGCGCAGAGACAAAGTCAAAGATGCGTCAGCCGCTGTTGCACAAACAACAATCGTCTGCTTTCATCAAAGACGTTCCTGCGAGGCACGATGAACGACTGGCTGCCGTTTGTCTCCAGAAAGCCAGTCGTGAACGTCTTGCCTCTCGTGCCATGACTTGAAACCCGATTACGCTCGCGCTCTGCGGAAGCAAATTAGAGCGCCTCGTGAACCGAGCAGAAGCTGTGCGGACACCCATACTTCTACTTATAAGCTTATCCATCAGAATCTCCCCTGTAGCTTTAGCGATAAAGTGTAATGAGCGGGACAGTCCATTAAGCACTCTGACACTTACAGGTGTGCAGCTCCGGCTTGTGCGCCGCCGGCCTAAGTAATCACCGCTTTCACGCTAACAAATAATCGGCCCATGCTCCATCGGGCTCCGTCGGGCTCCGTGCGCGCGGGCGCACGCACACTTGCGGCCCAGACTCGCGTCCTTTAAGCACCAATTACAGGTGGCGATACTCAATTACGATGTCGCCGGTATGCCGCTGAGACACTTGAACGTCACAGAGAAGCAGAGCGGCCAATGAGCTGAGGGCTTATGGTAAGACAGGAAATAAAAGGCGATTAGGGAACACATTGATCTTGAGCTCTGATTTACAGTCTGACTCACTGTTGTACTTCTGTGCTGCTGCTGGCAAAGGACCGATCAGATTCCTCTCAAGCTGGCAGTCTCAGTCGTTCCACAGAGTAAATAAAGTAATTTCGCCCACACTGAACTGGCTGCTGTAATCTAAATCAATTGTAGCAATTAGGAAATTGTGAGATGCAAACCAGCATTTGATGAGGTTTTTTTTTTTTTTTGTTTGTTTTTTTATTGCTTATTGTGGTATTTTTTTTTATTTTTTTTTTTTTTTTGCTACACTCACGACATCTTTAGAGCGCCTGGTGGTCCAGTTTCTGGTTTATCAACAACAACAACAAAAAACAACAATCATAAACGTGGCTGGCAAACGTGAAAGATGGCTGCTTGGTCTTATTAAAATGCACAGCAGCTGCTCTCCAGGAAATTCCTGCTGCCTGTTTGACACCAGGTCATTAACAAACGAAAAAAGACAAATGGCGTTCCAGCAGAATATATGACAACAACATCTCAATAAACGAGAAAGCAAGAAAAACGGGAGGACGTCGAGAAGAAATTAGGTACAGGAGCTGGAGAGGCATTCTTGCAAAGAAACATGGAGATGCACCTCATCTTTGATGGTGCTGGGGTTTTTTTTCAGGTTTTTGTTTTTTTTCTTATCCTCTGTTGCTAATGAGTGAATAATTGCCACCCTTGCTGGTGACAGATTTAACAGTAGCTCTGTAACTGATGACAGGCTTGGGAACACGGGAGATAATTAATGACTGTTGTGAAAAAGATCAATGGGTCAGCTATCGCTCAATGGAGTCAATTTCAGGTGTCTCCAAAGCTTTCGGCAAAACGCACAGCACCAGGCGGCTCAGACACTCTCAAATGTCATGGAGTGGAATGACTCATTTCCTATTTTGTATTGTTTTTATTTATTTTCTCCTAATACCTTTATTTGTTTCCCAAAACCCTAAAGTGTTTTACAGTTGTTAGTTGTGTCGATTATTGTGTAAATTATGCTACAACATTTGAGAACTTCGTTTGAAAGCACTTAGGATTTTCTAAAATTAGCAACTGGATTATTCTCTGTACCAATTTGCCTATTAGGAATCCAAGGACAGACGTACAGCAAGCAACAATACCTGTAGCTCATATGAAATGGAGAACATGTACATTGTACAAAAGCCAAAGATATGATGTAAACTACTAAAATATCTTTATTTAACGATTTATTTCACCAGTTCAAAATTGCTATGAGAATTTGAAGTCATTAGAAACTATTTCAGGATTTGCCGCCACAGTGGATACTTGGAGTAATACCAGCTTGCTATATTTCCAGTGTTGCAATAAAAGGGTGAAGGGCAAAAGTAACTAGTAGGTCTTTGTATCTCTTCCCCTGTATTTAGATTCTTGGTTCTTCTTAAACAAAACTTGGAATTCATCCGTTTCCTAGGGTAAATCGCACTTTCATTAGGTCATTAGTGCAGCTGGATTATCATTACAATATCCGTTTCTTTGTTCCATCTATTCTTTATTCCTCCCCTGCTTCTCTTTTCCTTTCGAATTGCTATATTTGCATCAAATAGCATCTTCTGCTTCTGAACGTGCCTAATGCATCTGTATAAAGCAGAGCCCGCCTGACAGGGAGCCTCTCAGGAGATGCGGAGGCAAAAATGGTCCTCCAAAGGCATCCTGGAAGAGAATAATATCATAATGGAATCCGGCTGAGATAAGCACCTTTTTAGCCAGAGGCGGTACATGGAGACCTGGGCATCTGGCAATTGAGAGAAGAGAAAAATAACAGCTCGGGAGCCCATTTCCTCAATATTCCTCATGATAGGGTTAATGGGTTTTCAAATTTGTTTTGCCTTTTCTCAAAAACGATGAGCCAAACATTCGTCAAACAAAAAGAGAAAAATGAAAGACAAGGCCCGGGATATGTTGTATATGTTGTTTTTTTCCACTAGCTTCTGCTGTTTAGGATCTTGGTTCAATAAATAATGACGTAGTGTAATGGCAGAAGTGTTTTGTACATTTTAAGTTCATTCAAGGTCATGCTAAGGACAGCAGGAATTGCAAAAACAGCACTTTCGTTTTACTGGGCTTGTAGGTAAAAAACAATCCGGCTTAGTGTGAGTATTTCTGATGCTAAAGTGCTTGCAGTTCAACTCAGATGGAGCTTAGAAAAGTTCAAACCCTCCCCCACTTATTGCTGTTAATGTTACGAGACAGTCATCTGACAATTTTTTTTTTCAGTAGTAAAAATCTCATGTATTTAGGTGCTTGGCTACCAGACACTCAGTCTTTTTATTTCAACAAATGTCAACAAAACAAATGTTAACCTGTTAAGACTACGAGCTAAAAAATAAACAGCTTATTGAGATGTCTACAATTCTTAGAATATTTTCTTTTTTTCATATAAAACAATAAATCTAAACCATAAAGTTTGTACCCAAGACGATGATATATTTAAAGGCTCATACAGCCACAATTTTGCAAATAATAAAAAAAGAGTATTTCCGCAAGATATTGCACCTACCTTTTGTTTTTTTTAAAGATACAACTCATGCATAAATATTTAAAGTTAACATATGGAGCCATGATGAAAATGCATAAACAAACAAATTGAAGTAAATTGGGTTTTTCTTCAGGGCTTAAAATAACTCTAGGAATGGTGGCTGCACCGTAGTATCCAGGCAACTGAGGACCAGTGATATAGATTTCAACCGCTTCATCCCACAACTCAGATACACAGAGGTGACCCTGGACAAACACACACACATGCACACACACACACACGTACGCACACACAATCTCACATTTCTTGAATAGGTAACAAAGTAGGCTGTTGAAAATGACAAAAAACTCATGAACAGTTAAAGCCAGACATCAGTCTAAACAGAGGTAGACGTCTGTGCAATCACTGGCTTTTAATAACTTTCTTGTTTTTGCCCCAGCAGGTCAAACATACGAGTGGACAGGAGTCCTGCACGCTCTACACTTCAGCATCAGCTAAAAGCACGTATGGATATGTGCTTTTATGTAAAGTGGGAGTTATTTTCTGTTGCAAAAAGCAGCAGGAAGCAACCATGGTCATGCTCTGAAACCCACAACACCTGGGACAGATGGCATGGCATAAGGTAAAGCTTTTTGGCTATACAAAAGAAGGCTGACAGGTGCTCGGCCTAATTTCTGTCTGCCTTTGCAGGAGTTTCATTAAAATGGTCCAAATGAATGTTAATACCATTTTTACTGTAAGAGGAAGCAAGGAGGCACAAGTCACAGCTGGTGACAGATCGATAAAATGACTAATGTTTTGTTCTGTCACCTACTTTATATGCAAGTCTGTGCAGGTTGGTGGTTTTTTTTTTTTTTAAGTCTGTGAAAAGAGCACAGTCTTCTCAAATAATTTAGAGAATGATGTACACACACACACACACACACACACACACACACACACACACACACACACACACACACACACACACACACACACACACACACACACATCAGATGTTTAAACTAGCTACTCAATCACCTTCTCTGGTAATGACCAAATGTTATCAATACAGTGTGAAAACAACCTACCTGAGTCAGAGCTGTACATGTAGACGAACTTGTTCCACCCATAGTGCTCGATGACTCCCACCAGGGCGTCCTGGAGTTCAGGCCTCAACTGGATGACAAACTGGTTAGCGGTCTCAATGGGGAAGGATGGCGTGACGAAGCAGACATGCAGCGCGCCGCAGAACGACATGAGCATGTTTACAGTCTTCCTGTCATAGAGGCCGATGATGGCGTACACACCTTTGGAGAACTGGGAGCAAACTGGAAAGGACAAAACAGAAAGTAAGAAAATTAGATAAAGAGCTTTTTAATTTTTTTTTAATTCCACAGACTGTGGAAACAGTATGACTCCTGCAGTCATAAAAAAATTTTTCAAATTCATTTTATTTTTTTTAACGCACCGTAAAAAATCATCAACAAAAAAACACTGACTGCAAATAATCAATCAGAATGGCTGTACGCTAAAAGCATGTGTGCTTTTAGCTTCACTGTTGTGTGATTTGATAGCCATTATTCTCCGACAACCTGAATTAAAGTGGAAACTGCCGGAATATTATAATTTCAGGAACTTCCTTCTCTTTCTTTTTAGTGGGAGAAAACATCTGTTTACCCAGAAAGTGCCAGCAAGAGACATTTTCCATCTGATTTCTAAGTGTTTTAATGTAAATATAGGATTCCAAAGATCAGCAAACCAAGGATTAGATGTCTAAAGAAAGATGGAGTGAGAATATCTCTAAATGGTGTTTTCTTTCTTCTTTTTTTTGATGATACAGACAAATAGAAAGCCGAGTGACACAAAGAAACCTAAACTATTCATTTCTGAAATCTTATGTTTTAATAATTTCTATTATTAAGAGCCTTATTCATGAAACATTAAATAAATTCCATCTGCATTAACGAGCACCAACACACACACACACACACACAAATCATTTATCATTCAGATCAAACAATCCTGATGGACTTTGCACATTTTATTTCCTAGCTCAGATTTGTTGACCTGTTTTAACGTCACATTTTTTTCACAATGAAAGAGTCTGGAAGTATATTTTTTAAACAACGCACATCTTATTTATAAGTATGTGTGTGTGTTTTTATCTTAACTGAATATCTCAATAAAGAAACAATTTGCTAATTAGTACTTTTGCATGTTGGAAAACCTAAAATAAAATATAGATTTATTATTCTAGAATAAATATTTCACATGGATGTTTCTTCCTTCAAAAACATTTCTCCAAATACACAGCCAGCCGGGGATAAGTAATGTTTTGCCTCTACACTTTTGATTTAAGTTATCTTTTATCTGAAATCACGTCAAGGTTTTGCAATGAGATGTTTTATTCTTTTGCAAAAACAGTCATATGACACAGAGCATAACGTGAAAAATCTCTTTGGTAAAATGTTTCATCAGAGCCTGATTAAACTCCCAGGCTGTGATGATTTAACTGCAGGTCTAAACTGCAGTTCTGATTAAATGTTGCAGAATTCAGATAAAATACCAAAACTAGAAATTAGCCAATCAATTGTAGACATGTGCAGATTTTCTTCCCCACATTTATTGACAAAAAAAACAAAAAACAAAAAAGAAACAATCTACAGATCAAAACAATACATGTATGGGGAAATCCATAACACAGAGGCCTAATTGAATTAAACTGAGCTGAAGAGTCGAATCCAATCAGGAATACTGAAGAAAAAAAAATAGAATTTGTGGACAAAAAAAGGAACAAAGGAGAGACAAAAGAGATTGTCATCTTTTTCAGGGCGTTTTGAAGTCTTCCAATTAAAATCATGCTTATGCACCACTAGTGTGGCTCTCGGCTTCAGTGGAGGAGGTGAGGAACAGAGAGGTTAATCAATGCATCCCCAGGGCTCCATTGACATTTTCCTAGCTGCAGGAGGTGGTTTTCATCTCTCATTCGCTTTCCTTCCTCCGTCTCACATTCCTTCTCCTTTCTTTCTTTCTTTCTTTCTTTCTTTCTTTCTCCAAATCACTCTCTGTATGCCACGTAGTGCTTTCTCCGCACGTCTTAAAATGCCAAATTGATGTTAATAGCTTTCTTTTCTTGTAAGGTATATCCTCTCGGTGGAACATAATCTCTTTACACTCGCGTGGTCTGGCCTGGACTATTTTCTGCTGAGGTGATGGGTGGGCCTCACTTATCTCAGTATTTACCAAACAGATTGAAATTCCTGCCTGGACCTGCGCAAAGGCCAGCCTGCTGCTCGGAGCTGAAGCAGCCACAGAGGAAGAGAGAGGAAGAGAGAAAGGATGGCCAAGACCCAAAACGCCTAACCTGTCACAGACCTGCCCCCTCCAGGCAGGCACGTGTGTGTGACGGAGATACAGGGAGAGAGGGAGAGGGACAAAAATGATCAGCGCTATCACATAAAAATACATGCCCACACACACAAACACATATGCAGCCCGAAGTGCTCCAAAAGCCTGGTGAGTCACCCTACTTAAAGCAACCCTGAAATAGACATTTTGCGCCTCGCCACACTGACTCAGTAACAGAACTATCTTCCCTTCATGGTCTGCACATGCTCTCACTCCTAAATGGATGCTTTTTGATCCGCTGCCTTCCACAAGCGTGCGTTACAATTTTCCAGGGCCGACTTCAGAGGTGTCCTCCGCGTTCTGCCTGGATGAAAGGTAATGAGAGCTTGTTTGACTTTTCGTGCAGTGTCCCATTACTCTGCCCAGGAGCAGGTTAACATGTTTCACTGAGCATAAGTCATTTCTCATACCTGCAAAAATAATAATAAACCCCCCAAAAATGTAGCCATGTGGCAAAGGCCCCTGTCTCTGAGCTGGCAGGCCAAACATGTTTGTCTGCTCCGCATAAGAAAGACACAGGCCATTAGTGGGACCCGGCAGCCAAAGCTAACCTAGCAGGATAGCTCAGCAACATAGTGTGTGTGTTTCTGTGTGTGAGCGGCTTGTTAGTTGCTACTCCACATGTGCAGCGACATTTGAGTCGGGCCTGAAACAACTCAAGTGATCTCAAAGACCCCAGCAACACCTGTCCTCCCTGGCATCCCTGATCACCTCACTACGGCTACAGCTGCCACGGCGGCAGGACCGAGGCTGCCCGGGGAACGCTCGGTTTCTCTGGCAGGAACTACAGTGGCTCCGAAGCTTTTGGAAGATGGGCTGGGAATTGCCACTGTTTGGACATTTTGTCATAATTAGCCTCCCCCTCCCTGAAGGAATTAGCAAATTTACAGGGGGAAAAAATAAATAAATAAAAACTGTCGGCCGGCTTTGAAAAATCCGCAGATATTTTTAGGGAAGAAACGGAAGATCTCCAGTTCAGTTCTGCTGCACCAAATTTGCATTTGCATTCCAAACAAGTATGCGATAATACCCATTAAGCATCCATCACAGCTATTGTGGTGGGCAGATATAAACCAGAGGCAAAGTTATGGTGGCTCAAATTTAAAAGCTTTTTATGCTCTTTTTTATTGCTTCTTTTTACAAATGTCCCCTGGCTTTAGCTGTTTATATGCAGTGTTAAGCTGGTCTGTTGAGAAGAAAAGCTTAGGCTCTTTTACTCATTCGGGCAAGAGGAAGCGACACTAATGAACAATCAGACAATCAGGCAGAGAAGCGCAGAGGAAAGTCTTACAAGCAGCCCTTTGATCCGATAAGTCACTGCTTAGCTGTACAATTTTCTCAGCTCCATTTTCACAAAATTTGGGGATAAAGTTGTGACTGTTTACCAAGACATTGTTGCCAACAGATCAGTTTGGAATCAAGGCTGCATCCCGAGATTCATCTGCTAGAGACATGCCACAAAGAATTTCAGATGTAATTATTGTAGACCAAGATGATTCTACAAACTCAACATGATTGTCAGAGCTTTACTTCTTAAAACGGTGTTAAAAACACTTCATAGTAGTCAGTTTAAAGGTTTAAATGCTTTGGTAAAGTATTGTAGGGGTTTACGTTCCAAACTAAGCGATTCTAGCATTCTGACATGGGTGAAAATTACACTTCCACAAAATCCATATTCTGTCTGCCTTCATTGATACATAACCACAAAAAAGACCAAATGAACAAAATCTAACTAAACTCCCCAACTTCCCTGCATTCAACGAATAAAAAGAACTTCTTTTTTTGTATAAACACCTCTCGTATTTTCCGGACTATAAATTGCTCCGGAGTATAAGTCGCATTTTTGAGGGAAATTTATTTGATAAAATCCAACACCAAGAACAGACATGTCATCTTGAAAGGCAATTTAAAATAAAAATAGAATAGAGGCAACAAGTTGAGTAATTGCACGGTATGCCAGCGTTACATGACAAAGGACTGAGAACGTGCCTGGTATGTTAGCATAACATATTAAGAGTTATTCAGAAAACTATAGCATAAATAACATGCTAACAATCATCAGCGTCTCTCCAAATCACTAACCACAATGAAATCTTTGTCCTATATGTCGCTTTTAAACAACTCTGCTAACTCTGAAGGTAGAATAACACAGGCCTGCAGTTTAATGTGAAAATAACATGTGATATGACATAATGATGTGTTAATTTCCACACATAAGCTGCTTCAGAGTATAAGTCGCACCCCCAGCCAAACTATGAACAAAACTGCGACTTATAGTCCGGAAAATACGGTACATTAAGAGTCATGAGGACAACTCTCTGGGATCTGTGCTGTCACTTTCTAAACTATTTATCTGTGTACAAACAAGTTAATTTACATTTGCTGTGGACAAAGTGTTTTTGGCTGCAGGGCATAAAAAGAGAATAAAATAAAATACCAACTAAAATCCCAAAGGGAGTGATACTCGCACAACAGGAGGAGCTGTCAGAAACAACTCATGCAACTCAAGTCTTCCCTGTTCTGTTTCCTGTGCCCGGCAGCTGTTCCTCTGCTTAGCATGAGCCAAATATCAAATGACAGACGTGTCTGTGCCGGCTGCAGCATGAGGGCATGTTTGTGACAGTTTCTCCTGCATCCAAATTTCTGGATGATGGGACAGCTCGCAAATGGAAGCTGCTGAGCAACGCCGAATCCCTCATATTTACTTATAAATATTTAACTGCAGAATTTAAGTTTGACGTGACAAGTAAACAAACATTACAACAAACAGCATTTTAATTCATGATGGATGAACAGAAAATATGTCCGACAGATGCCTGCGTGTTAAAAAGTTTTATTTTAGTTTTTTTTTAAAGTCTTCATTCAACGATCCCTTATGTCGCAGTTATTTCATATTTATTTGAACACACTTTGATATTTA